CAGTGAGATTTGCTAAAATAAACACCATAGAGTCTTCTCTATAATACCTCGAAACAATCAGGCCGTACATATTTCACCCTCTTGGCCCAGTATTTAACGAACACATTTTTCTGAAGACGAAGGGAAAAAGTAATCCTTTCCACAGCATATCCACCATACCGCTTCACTGGTGTGGTGGCTAGTCCGAGAGTCTCTGGGGTCGGAGAATGTCCGGCGGTAGCAAAGTTGTATCAGTTTTGCAGACAGTACGATGTTCATGGATCGATAACAACTGTGAACGATCATAACTGATATGAGCTATTGTCTCGCTTAACAGAGCTAAGAAATACACAAACCAAGAGAGAGCTGAGCCGCTGCTACCAAAAATAACTCTTTCATTTTCATTTCTTTAAGGATCATTCTGACTGATGATAATGTAAATTCTGTAATACAGTAAAATAGCGATATTTTCTGAGACAGTTATCATACCATGAAAAACTCATACAGTTGCAACCCTGTCTAGTAGAAACCAAAAATACAACCTTAAAATGAGCATAATAGTTCCCCTTTAAAATGGGTCACAAACATATTGGTTTATTTTTTTCCAAAACAGCTGGCTGCTGTAGTTTTTAAGCACACATTACTCAAAGAAGAGTAAATAATGCACTTGTTGGGGACTCTTTTCAGCTGCGGACTAATGCACATTTGGTGCTCATGTTCATGGTAAGAAAGGATCATGTCAGCCAGTATTATGCTGTGGCTGCCTTTTAATAGTTTTGGGACAACAGTGAAACTCTATGGCACAAAGGAATAACATATACCAGGGTTTGGCTGCATGCACAACACTGGTTGTTTAAATCAGTTCATTTTTGGTTTTGGTCTCTTCATTGAATTTGTTGACAAAAATAAAAAATGAAAAGAATATCACCAGCCAGAATACAAAGAAAAGAGCTTAATGGAAATGACTTATTATTGTGGTGCGTCCTCATCGTGGTCATTTTATAATCAGAAGAGCGATCAGATAAAATTCAAAAATGCCTCTGCTACTTGCTGCAGGTGACACAGAAAAACAATATTGTAATGAGGCTACATTTTTTAATTTTTAAAACACCAGGGCACAATAACGAGATCTAGATTCTTATCATGTTTTCCTAAATTCTAAACAAGCTCTGTGTAAGGTGTTTGTGTAATTGATGGACAAACAAGCACATGGTTTCTAATTTTCATAATTAAAGAAAAAATGCCATCCTTGTAAAAAATCTCAACATACTGCACATATAAGTAAGTGACAGTAATGCCGGGGTTAAGTTGGGGCACATTTGGAATGAGTGCCTCCGGCTTTAGTGAGTGCACGGTGCCGTAATTACGTGGAAAACATACCACAGGGGATTTGGTTGAAGTTATTTTAATAAGCCTTTAATGAAACATTTCTCAGGAGCTGGTCATTACTTCGGTGCCAGCAAGCAGATCTTCTTTTGGAATAATGATGCCTCAGAAGATTTCCTGCTCAGCTCGACTCTGCATGTGAGACATCAGAGATAAATTGAGCAGAGACGTCCCCCATGAAGAGAGCATTGTTATTGTGGTGGTGCACGGTTAACCTCCTGTTCCCTGAACACGTGCTGCAGATGTGTAGATGCTGTAGGTTCCTCAGAGATTCTCCAGTGTTCTGTTTATTTGTGTCCTTATAAAAAATGTTTGCCTCACAGGTGTGATGGTCCCAAATATGGTCTCTGAGTCCTCTGGTCTTTTCCAGAATTAGGCCTGCTGAGGTGAATACTCTGTGTCTGTGGATGTAGGCCGTCCATCCGCTAGAGCCCTCTTGTCAGTCTCTTAACTGTATTTATCAGTCTGTGTGTAGCTCAGTTCCTGTTGGCTCAGACAGTGTTCCTGGTCTCGTGTCACTAGCTAGTCTCTCCACAGCCGACGATACATGTTTGTGATGAAAACAAAGTCTGTGTTAGTGTGTTTGTCTTTGTTTTCCATGTATGTGTAACATTTCATTGACACTGTCCTCCACCAAATGTTTTATATGTATGTTCTTATTACATCTCAGCAGTTTGGTTAAGTGACATTTTGTCTGTGTTCTCAGATACATTTAACAAGAAGTGAAAATGAAACGACACACTGTTCAAAGTGTTTTCATATCTGTTAGTTTCTAATTGTTCGAGAAGTGAGGTGAATTTTATATTTATTTATTTTGGGATGTGAGCTAAATTAGGCAAAGCTCAAAGTTTAGTCAAGAGACATAAAAACCTGCGAGTTTGTTTGACTTTTGCTTGGTGGGAAAAGTAAAAGGACAGTTTGGAATTTTTGAAGTGGGGTTGTATGAGGTACTTATTCATACGCAGTGTATTACCTACAGTAGATGTCAGTCGGCATGCTCCACAGTGCAGAGTAGCAGGCAGGGGCACCACTGTTGTGGACGGGAGCAGCAGCAAAATATATTTTAGCCACCGAAAAGAGCTACATCGTTGTGAGTGTACGATATATTTGGATTTTATTCACAGCTTTACCTTGCTGTCAGACAGCTCTTTGTAGCGGGAAACTGATGCAGTTTTATTGCTCCTTTCAAAGCCAGACTTAACTGAGAAAAACAGAAATTTAACACCGCTGAATACAGGAGTTCTTGGTCTACTGCTGCCTCCATCAGTTAGTTTGTTTGTGTTATTGTGTGAATTTGGTGTTTTAAATCAGTGGTACCCACCTGGTCCAGCCACAGGGTCCAGATTTCTCCTTAGTCATTAGTTTAAGGTCCATGCAGTTTAATTTATTCAGCGTCATATTTGCATTTGGCCGTGTCATCAAGCTGGTTTGCTGTCTTAGTTAGGTAGGTGTCAAAACAGCACTTCAAAATAAAAGCTCCGTGCTGGGATTCACTGTACTTCCAAACTGTGTTTTTTACAAACTTGACATGTTTGCAAGTCACTTGCGGTCCATTCAGAATGGACCCATGACCCACTTTTTACATTAGTTTGGATTCACTGAAGTCATACAAACAAACACACTAGCTGATCGAGGCAGCAGTAGACCAGCAGCTCCGTGTTGTGCAAGGTAAAATTACTGTTTTTGTCAATGGATTCTAGTGGCTTTGACGAGAGCATAGATAGCATACACTTAAACTCTAACTGATTTTAATAGGTGGCTGAAGAATTGTTTTGCTGCTGTCCCCATCCACAGCAGTTACCAATGTACTGCTATGGAAAGAGGCAGCAGCAAAATGTATGTTAACCATGGACGTGTAAAGAACTCGGGTGTTTAGAGGTGTTTCGGGCACGTCCAACTGGTAGGAGGCCCCGGGGCAGACCCAGAACACGCTGGAGGGATTATGTATCTCATCTGGCCTGGGAACGCCTCGGGATTCCCCAGGAGGAGGTGGAAAGCGTTGCTGGGGAGAGGGACATCTGAAATACTTTGCCATTTTTAAAAGTTGCTCTGTGATACATGAAGCCAAAAAAGTTTGACTTCCATGTGTACAATTATCCAGATTTTTCGCATTGTTGGGCCCATAGAGCAAGCACACTAGAAATTTTTACTGGCAGGGCGGCTAACTTCCACTGCCCGAGTGGCTAACTTCTGGTTTAGCCCTCCGCTAACTTGAATGGGGATAAAAGTGATTTAATCCTGCAGCTCTTGTAGGCTTTCCAAATGTTATTGGACCGACGTTAAAAAAAATTAATCCACAGATTTAGAGATGTCTTTTTCACAATGTAATTCTATGTGGAAAAGCCCTCTTTGAGGTGACGGACCCTGGACTTTCCACAGTTTGGTCATAATGTTATATTGGCTTCAAAGCCTGCTGCACTTCATGGGGGCCTAATTTTAGCCACCTAAAAAAATCAGTAACAATTTAAGTGTACACTATATTTAAAATTTTTTGACCACTTCACTTTACAGTCTGACAGCCTTCTCCGACGGGGAACTGAAGCTGTCATATTGCTCTCTTTAAAGCCAGACTCCATTGACAAAAAAAGTAATTTTACCTCACAGAACACAGGAGCTGCTGGTCTGCTGCTGCTTTGATTGGTTGATTTGTTTGTGTTGTCGTGGAACTTTGTTGAATCTGAATTAAACCTTAAAAACACCAAAGTCCCATAATAACAAAATCAAACCGATCGAGGCAGCGGTAGACTAGTCTGAGTGGGCGGAAGTTCGCTGCATAGATCAGCCTCTCATTGGGCGGAACAAGCCACCCGCTGAAGTCCCGCCCTACCACCTCCGGTTGCAGTTTTCAACATGTCCTTTACTAACTTTTGCGGTGTTTGATCTTGCGGGGATGTAGCCATTTTTCTGCCATGGTTCGCGTCCTGTATAGGCGATATTTTTGTGGGCATGTTACACCAAAACCTGTTTCCCCCCGGCAATATTTTTGAAGGTGCACCGTTGCTGTGGCACCGCCCAGAACGATTGTGATTGGTTGAAAGAAATACAAGCAGCCGGGGCGTTTTTTTCTCCAATCTTAAAGTGAGAGTCGGCCCAGCGAGACCTTTCTTTTCTTGAGAAAGGTCTGGTGAGTGAGACTAGCGGTAGACCAGCAGCTCCTGCATTCAGCAAGCTAAAATTACTGTTTTTCTCAATGGAGTCTGGTGGCTTTGAAGAGAGCATAGCAACAGCTTTGTTTGTCTAACAGCAAGGTAAAGCAGTCAAAATGTTCTAAATATGGCTAATATACATTTTGCTTTCCAGTCTGCTTCTCCAAATTCTCCACTGACTATGTATGAGTACCTCATATAACCCTGTTTCAAAAATCCCTAAGCTATCCCTTTAAGGGGCACCATAATGGAAGGGTTTGACATTTGGTTTGACATCTATCTTCTGATTTCTCAGCAAGAAAGCAAAAAAGTGCACTTCCTAGAAAATAAAAGGGACAATTCCTGTGATAGATAGTGGCGTAACGGCGGTGAGAGTAGTTTGTCTAAAGCCTGCTGTACTGTCTCCTGCATGTCCTGTGAATGAAGTGTCTGTATGAGGTGGCTGTTATGACCTCAGTGTTGTAAGCTGTGTGCGTTTCTCTCCCCCAGCCCCGTCATGAGTACTTTAATGTGCCTGTGTACTGATTGGCTGCCATCGCTGCTGCTGCTGCTGCTGCTGCTGCTATCCACCCTGCATGCTGAGCTCCTCAGTGCCTGGCACCTTGCTCTCTGCCCTCTGAGCATCTGTTATTGCCATGTGGTTTGGGGGGTGTTAAAATATTCTCAGCTCACTGTTCAGCTCCATACATGACAGTCATGATACGATATTGTCACAGTGTTAATTTAAAACTACAGTAAATGATGATAACACTTAGAGAAGTTACTCATCAGTGTGTTTATTAATAATAATGTAATGTGTTGTGTGGTGACATATTGGTACATGCCTGTCATTCATCCACTTATTATTGGTTTCATTGCAATAGTTGAACACCTCTCTTTATTATTCACTGTAAAACAGCAAGTGCCATCATGAACCAAGAGAAAGATCCACTTACTAGATTTTCTTCAGCGTGTTAAACCTTCATCAGTGAAGGGAAGTACAGCTTTAAAGGGGACTGCCACCTATGAATGTGAGCGATTCTCTCAAAGCCAGAAACCAGAGAAGTGAGTCTTAAACTTGTGATGTCATCAAGTATAAAGTCTGGAGCTGCTCCATAAACGATGAACAAGAGACTGATTTTGTGGACCCACTGAATATTTGTTTTCTTTTTTATATCACACCGGCGGTGAACGCTGTGTGTCAAAACATAAGCCCCCACACCAGCGGCTGCTGGATGCACATCTGGATGTAATGCTGTACGGCACTTCATGCCACTGTCCTTGCTACCCTGAGAATTAAATGCACCCCTCCCCCCAGTCGCTCTCTGCTTGTATATACCAGCTCCCATTGCACCTCTTCTTCTCTGCTCCTATGGCAGCTCGACTCCTCTCCTCACCATTGATGCATAAAGAGAACTCTGTTGCTGTTGCTGTGTCTCGTGTGTGACGAAACATAGATGAGGAGAGACTTGTGGTTGAGGTTGAGCTCAACAACCCACAATCCAGACATTATAAAGGCAAAAAGATATATTGGGTGAAAGATTAACTTTAATTAGGGGCTCTCCACACATGATTTTAAGCTAACGCAGACGTGGAGGAGTTACAGTAGTAGTAACTTTGTGTGCTTGTATGTTAACGAGCTGCGGCGCAATGTGTTCAGTGTGTGCTGGGGCGGCACGTGACACGTGTGTCATGTTTCTAGCTTCAGTGTCATCTGGAACATCTTTCACCATGGAGCAGTGGCAGACTTTATACCTTGTGACATCACAAATTAGAGTTTTAACACTCTAGTTTTTGGATTTTGAAGACAGTTGTTTGTGTTTACTAATATTTTTGGAAATTTGCAGCTGATATACTAATTATTATTTAAAGGTTTTATTGATAACATTTTTATGTAGATTAATCAGTTTTAATAAATAATACATCTACAGTTTTTATGTGCAGGCTAAAATTATGTCTTTTCTGAAAGAAAGAAATATGCTGTGAATTCATCATTTTAAAAATTTCATTGAGTCCAAAATTAATGTTTTCTTTCTATTTGTGTAAAATGTCTGACCTTTGGTTACTATGTCTAACAAGGCTTTGAACCAGTAATATAACAGCGTTGGTATCATGTGGTATCTCGGTGTTCAATTCAATTTAATTTTATTAATAAAGCCCAATAACACAAATCCCAATTTGCCTCAGAGGGTTTTACAGCATACGACATCCCTCTGTTGTTTGACCCTCACAGCGGATAAGGGAAAACTCCCCAAAAAACCCTTTAATGGGGAAGAACTGGTAGAAACCTCAGGAAGAGCAACTGAGGAGGGATCCCTCTTCCAGGACGAACAGACGTGCAATAGATGTCGTTGAGAACAGATCAACATGATAAATTAACAGTAATCTGTATGACACAATGAGACAGAGAGAGAGATGATGCAGGGCAAACAGTAATGACAACATCTACAACAACATTCATTTTAGTAATAAACATTAATGTTATCAATAGCACCTTTAAAACCAGTCGAATTCAGCTGCTGTAGTTTTTGGTTGAAAGAAAATCTACAGAATTGGATCAGGGTGGCATCTGACTGATGGTCACATTTATCACACTGAAGTTACACAACACAGATCATTACAAAATGATCCACTCATGATGGATCTGTTCTTCACAGCATCCCCATTTATTCTTCTGTTTCTCTGTGCTGTTGTCACTCAGAATTTGTGGGGAAAGTCTGCCCCCTGTGGTGCACACGTGTGTCTGACTGTGTTGAAGTGCTCAGTACATCTTAAAGGCATTTGATTTGAGTGTAAACAAACTCTCTGTAAAGAAATATTTGAAGACCAGATCACAGAATATGATCATCTGAATTCTGATGTCATTTCAACACAGAATTGAAGACCGTCACATTCACACTGAAGTGTTTATTATGTCCAAGAGGTGTTCATCCAGTCAGTTACTGGTCTTTATGGTGTCTCTTGTGTATTCGTTGGTACAGTTTTGTGTTTGTCTTCTCACTTCATATCATATGTGTTTGAATTTTAGGTATTGTCCTTGCTTTGATTTGTAGGAGTTGTTATAATGTTTTATTAATCAGAACAAATCTAGTTCAGACCACAGCACACACTAGAAGTTCTAATAGCTTTTCAATATTTTAAATGATTTTTAAGAGTTTTAAATTATTTATAGCTCCTGATTATTTACCGTTTAAATAGATAGTGAAGATCCTACTCTCGAGGTAGGTTTCTGTAGTAGAATTAAAGCTGGGGTAGGTAGAAATCTTCCTTTGAAAACACACCCTCCTCCTGCAGCCCTCTCCTCTCTCTGTCCTAAGCATCTCCCAGCAAATGTGCACAGGCACATGCACGCGCTTCATACAGTGTTTCCCATACGCTGATTTATATATTATTTATATTGTGTAGTTGCACGCAGCTCATTTGCTCAGTCCCTCTGCGATCTGCTCTCTCTTCCTGTTTATCAGACCACAAAGGAGACAAGGATTAGCTGCGAGCCATCCCATGGTCCCTCCGCCTTGCTCCTCACCGCTGTGGACTGCTTCCTGGCAGCAGCTCTGCAGACTGACCTAAGTCAGCGCCTATAGTGGATCAAATTCGGCCAGTGCAAACCCCTCATCCTCGGGTGTCACATGGGCGGGTGGCTTGCAGCAACGCGGGATCTAACCTGTCTAATGTAATGGCAGCAACAGAAAGTTTGCTGATCTGGTGTAGAGTTGGGGCTGTCCGTTCCCCTTGAGCTGGGGTTTGCACTGGCTGGATTAGTCGCTGCAGCTGCTGACTGGGGATTCGTCTCCAGAACAGCAGCCCGCTCTCCTTTCGATGAGGTGGTCTATAACGGTGGGGAGTGAGGCGGATGTTAGCTACATAAACATGAACTTGAAACCATAGCTGCGAGCCTTTAGCCCCGTTTCCGCCAAACACTTTCGGTATGGTACCTTTGGAACCAAAAGTAACCCTTAAGACATGGTACCTAGACCCTACTGTTTCCACTGCAAACAGTACCCTTAAATGTGGGCAGGGTTGTTGTCACTCACTGCTCCGTCCAGCACTCACTGTATTTCCTACTTTATCAGTCTGCACCTCGTTTATCGTCCACAGAACGAGGCTGCACGTTTTTAGAACAAAATAGAACAGGCTGCAGTGAGTCTCTCTCTCCATGGGATATTTAAAAATAGCGTGTTTGTGCATTTAGTCCTTTTCAGGCAAGCTCATGGGTTTAAGGCCCGTTTCCACCGCAGGAACTTCAGGGTAATTTTACGGGGCCGGGGCCGTTGGTGCGTGTCTCCACCACAGGAACCACCCCCGAAGGACAGAGTTCTGGAACTTTTACAGGGGCTAAACAAGTCCCTGCCTCGGAGTAGGTACTTAGAACAGCCCCGAGAAACTCCTGGCTGGGGCTTGGGGATTACTTGGTGCTGATTGGATATACTCAAGGCGGGATGTGACGTTTTGTAAATAACATGGTTATCGTAGATTAGCTGGGCTAACCGTTAGCTGTTAGCAGTGTCTGTAATAACTCAATAAACGGTCCGTGAAAAAAATTTTTTTCCAGCGGATATCTTAGTTACAACATGATTGAGCTAGCAAAGCAGTTTTGTGTTGCTATGTGTGGTATTTATTCAGTTTTGGGAAATCACGATGTCTAGAAAGCATCAGCTGACAGGGACAGCTAACAGCAACAGCAGCAAAGCTAACATCAGGACGTCATCTGTTAAAAGCCTCCCTTTGTCGGATACGACATGAAACTACTCCAGTTAGCTCAATCATGTTGTAACTAAGACATCAACTGGAAAAAAAATTTTTCACGGACCGTGACTGGAGTTATTACAGACACCGCTAATGGCTAACAGCATCCCTATCCCTATGCCCCTACGCCCCTACGTCGCCCCGGTCAAAATGGTTGCGCAACCATTACGTCACATACAGAGCCAGGTAACTTTACAGGAACCTTCCTCCTACTCCGCTCTCTCAGTGGAGACACGGCGGTTGAGAGGGCCGAGCGAGAGGACGTTCCTGTAGTAGTTCCTGCCCCCCAAATAGTACCAGGAACTTCTTCAGTGGAAACGGGCCTGTAGTGTTGCTGTAGCCCATAGGAACAACGCTCCGCGATGCTTTTTTTCTTCAAATGAGGTTTAGAATATATGCAGTTAGATAATCTGGTCGTAATTAACATCTATTTTTAAATGCTTGAAGATCCACTCATTACAAGAGAGACAATAAAAACTAAAGTAGTGGTTAAAGTTGTCTAAATGAAATTTAAGGTGATGGATTCGCTATTGACCAGTCAACAGACTGCAGTGTTCACAGCTCCACCTTTTAGTACCAGATCTGTGTGCTAGGTACCCCAACAGAGGGGGGACCAAAAATGGGGATGGTAAGGAACAGTTCTGTTGGTACCATCCACAACTTTTCAGTGGAAACAGAAAAATTTGCGAAGGAAATGGGGCTTTTGGCTCTGGTTAGGAGAAGGCTAAACTATTAGCAACATTTTCTCTCCATCTCTGAAACACTTTGCCAATACTGGCACACGTTTGATTTTGTTTATTGTCAGACTCTCTTTTAGACTCTGTTTGAAAAGTCTGTCTTCCTTTTCTGGGTCCCTTTGCAGCGCAGGCAGTCGTTGCCAATGCTGGAATAGCAACCTAATCTGCAGGATTCTCCGCCACTGAATCAGGCTGTCACTGAAGGGACATGCACTCATGTCTGCACTTATAGAACAGCCAGTAGGAACGTCCCCTCTCTGTCTGAATGACCTGTGATTGGTCAAAGTCACAGGCTAGATTTTCATAAGCCTTAAAACAGAGCCAAGAGGAGGTGCAGAAGTCAGTTTTCTTTCAGTTTATTATAGGATTGTTGTCCATATAAACCAAAATTAAACTTCCTACCCGAGCTTTAATCATGCTAAAGAAATATTTTGCACTGATTAACTACAGGCTGGTGTGGCTTTTATGTTATTTTGATAGTAGACATTTAAACACACTTGAAATAATCAGCCTTAGAAATTCTCCATCTTTCTGAAACGCACACTGACTCAGCACTTGTTTTATATCTGTGTCCGACTAAGATAGTGACCGTCCTGATAAATTTACTGTGATGATGATGATGATATTTTCTCACTGTATATAATAGATAAATAAATTGTTTATGATTCATTGTCAGTAAAGCACACTGGTGTCTTTCTTTAACATAACTGATGTGTTTATGGTGGTTTTTCCCCAGATGTGACACATTTGAAGTTCAGGCTGACATTTAGTAATTTAGTTTATACTGCCACTGTTTGCTTCTGTGTTGTAAACAAACCCGATGACCTCACCGCTGAATGGTGTCAGGCTCCATTTGCTTTGCAGATGAAGATGTTTAGCCCACATAATAGGTGACGAGGGAGTCATCACTCCGCCTAAATCGACCCCAAGAGTGAGGGAGTCTATAATTGGTGAATAATGCATAGTTTTTGTTTCAAGGTCTGGGCTGAACATTTTGCACTGAAAATTAAATGACACTTCAGAAGTCACTGTGTAGACTTCGGTTATTTTTCTCCTCTCACCATAAAGCAATGTTTCTGTCTTACTGCTCTGATGCAACTCCTCTCTTTACTTTGTGCTGAACGTTGTTTCAGGATGCCAAAGTAAGTGCTTCTTTTTCTTTCTGCCACAAGCTGCCAGTTTCCCTGAACACTGTCTGTTGTCATTTATGATTTCTGGCACATTAGCGTAGACACACGCCTTTCACAGCAGACATGTCTCTTCATAATATTAATGGTGGCTGCGTTCCATTTAGCTAACCCAGTTCCATGGTCCTGGTACTGTGC